TAAATATTAACCTAGAGCAACCAAATTTGCACAGGAGCGAGAACTCTAGGGGACCCACCTACCTACCAAATTTGGTGTTTCTAGGTGCCATAGGAGCCAATCGCGAGGGGGGTCGCATCAACCCCCCCCCCCCCCTGCCAGGCCGCGTTATGAAAAATGCCCTGCTAGGGCGAGGGTTAAAATTTAAAATTTGGTGAAATTAGTAACCTTCCCTCGGCCTCAACGTCCTCGCTGTGTCAGCATAGCGTCCATAAAACTGCATCTTTGGAAGACCCACTTCTCCCCTCCCCTCCCCGCCAAAAAAGATGCACAATTTGAAAAGACACCAGACTATGGCACAAGTTAATTACTAATTAGTGCCCGTCTGTGACAGCGCCGGCGCCGAGACTGTCCACCACGCGCCGGTGGTGTTCGAGACTGTACCGCTTCTTACCTGTAGCGGTGAGCGGTGGCTCTCAAACTTCCAGCGCCGTGCGGGGAGCGCTGGAGCCAAGTGGCACGCGCCCCGCGCATCCGACTTTCTCCAACAGCTTCGAGACTGGTTTGCCGAAGAAAAGGATGGACCCGGAATACGTAATGAATGAATGGGATGATGAGTTTCGGCGTGTGACATGTTTGCCTCTCGGTCCACTTAGGACGCGCCTTCTCTGGGGAGCTTTTACTTACCTGCTTGTTGGGAGGGATAATGTTTCCATAGTCACATAAGCGTAGGAACCATGGGTGCAGTGGGTGCAGCTGCACCCACAATAATTCCCCAGTGGGTGCAGACAACGTATTCTGCACCCACAATAATCTGGAACAAAAATCCCCTTTCTCAGCAATACTAATTCCCATGCAGCACGATACATTCAGGATATTTTGCCCACTATCCATCTTTCGAAGCATTTTCCACTGTGATGGTCTTCAAAACTTACATTTGTGCTTAAATAAAAAAGAAGAAATGGAGCACATGTGATTGAACAGTGAACACATACCGAAGACCCACTGTCAAAAGGCCTTTTAGCCCGACATCTACGAAAATGGCTAAGTTAGCCGCTTTTACTTTTTGCGGTAGTCATTATTGACATTATCAATGCCTCCAAATGCACTTATCGGTACCTTTTCGACATGGTATACCCTCAAAGCTCGCAATGAGCCTTCGCTCGGGTGCCGCTCCCTACCCCCCTTCCCCGCTTCACCGGGCCATGGCTGGATTTCTGCACCCATGCACCCACAATGTTCCAGCCGTTCCTACGCCCATGCCCATAGTTAAAGGTAAATTGATTTTATGACATTATTACACGTAAACTATAGATGGGTAGTCACTGTCAGATCAGGTCAATAAAAAAAAGACGCGTTCCTCAAATTGCCGAAGTCGATATGCGAGTGTCTGAAATTTGTCTTTTCTTTTTTTCTTCAGGGGCGTTTCACGACAAATTGGATCAAAGTAGTTAATTGTAACAATAAACCATAATGAATATTGAATACTATTATCTGTAAAAATCATCCGATTAATATAGACAAAACGATACCTTTAAATAATTTATGGATAAAGTGGCCAAATAATTCCGAACATTTCCTTCAGAAAATAGGGGTATGCAGTCAATTCATGTGTCCTCTCAGACATCCAGAATAACCCGACCATGCCCCTTCCCGATGGTCCCCTGCCGTTGGTTCCCCACTCAACTGTTTTTGACGAGTCGCCAGTCATCAACTGTCTGTCAAACATTCATCGACCAGCACCATTTGGCATTTGCTGTCAGTTGACACAAATATTTGCCCGCGAAATCGCTTCCCCAAATTGACAAATGACAAGTGTGCCCACTGCCCAGTGTCCATTCAGTGGTGAAGGGGGATTATCGTCCTAATCCCAGCCGCAGGGGAGGATTAGCCCCAATCCTTGCCTCTCTTTTCCACCTTCCCACTTAGGCTTTACGAGTACGGCTTTTCTTTCATTCATTATTTCAATGCCTCTAAACTGTAGCATAGGTTAGCCGAAAGAAACTAGGTACCTACCTAGAAAAACAGCTTAAGAGTTTTTTTTTGCGAAATGCGTTTACCTAACAGACTGGTTTTTGATTCACCTTTTTTGGATCGATTCAATCATTGATTCATTTAATTTTTGTTTGATTCAATCACCGTTTGATTCCTTCAAAAAATTTGGTGAATCGATTCCTTTTGATTCAGAGAATCAAAAAACAATAAAAGGAATGATTCACGTTTGATTCAGCCAAATTTTTTTGAATGATTCTTTTTTGATTCAATTAAAAAATAAAATATACAAAATATCAGGGATAGTATTGTATTTGTTGTGTTCTTTTTGTTGTCATGTAATCCCAGCCAGCAATTCGTCCGGGATGCAGTTGGGGACGGTCGGGATAGGCTCCGGATGTCCAGACTTGTCCCTACCGGGTTGGGTAGGCTTGGGTTGTCCTAATCGATACCGGACCTCAGAGGCCGGCGGTAGGGCGACTCAGGATTTCCGGACCGCATGCTTAATCGGTTGGGACGCGATACGGATAGCCCAATCGAATCCCATGTTTAGACAGGCTTGTGATTTACGTTGTTATCCCAACCGATCTGAGAAGGCGCTTCGGGCACCATATCCGGTGGCCCAGAAAGCCTGGAAAAGCAATCAGATGGGCTGCGTGCAGGCAGACGCGTCCTCTGAGCGCAGCGGCCAGTCTCGCTGCCGCGTTGGTCAAGTGTCGATCCCTCCTTTGAGCTGCTGCCTCAGGATATTGCTTTTGAACTGGCTCTAGCAAGCGGTCGGTTCAACTGTTGTCGTTGCAGGGAAATCAGTCCGTCTTTGAGAACAGGGTGAGTATATGTAGTGCACACTTCATCCGTGATGTAGGGAGCGGGAAAGCTATAGGTAATAAAAATTGTTATGTTCGTTGTGGTTGTACTGCATGTGAATTACACTCGTGCTGTCGCATGTTTGATCAGTTATCATGGACAGAAGATGTTTGGTCTCATTGTCAAGTGTCGTTACCTAATGGTTGCATTGAAGGTTTGAAACCTGAATTACCAGGCATACCATGTAAAATGTCAGATGTGGGTTATTTTTTAGTGATTTTTAGTGTGTCCCAGGCTTTGATTAATTACCTCTTGGTCATTTTCAGATGCTCTCTTCGCACAGTGGTGAACCGCCCGACCAGATACCAGCCGTCAAGTTTCGCGGTGGCTCTCTGAAGCTCGTGACGGCAGACGGACACACTGTCCGCAGAGGAGCCGACACGAACAAGGCGCAGGCCTGCTATAATGACTGTGAACACCGGAAGTGAGTCCGCTGTGCCAGCGCCTTGCAAGTTGCAGCGGCGCTAAGATGATGGCCGACGCCACGAATGTGCTGGCCATGCTGTGAATTTGTAAAAAATTGACCTGGGTGCAACCAGTAAATTTGTGAATATATTTCAGTGTCCAATGTAATTCATTTTGTCGTGCAGGCATTAGGAATAAAGGTTGAATTGGAGAATAATGAAGAGGCGAGGGGGTTGCGGTGGCGCAAGCAAAGTGGTCGCATCTGCATAACAGCAATCTGCGGTTATGAGACTGCGGTTAATATGTCAGATGCCTGCGGTATTCCCGAACCGGCCGTGCGGGCCGAGTTGGGACATCCCGATCGGGATCGGAGTTCATCGCTTGTTAAAATGCCATAAGGCGGTCCGGATGCGTGCGGGATTTCCGAACCGGTTGTGCGGGGAGATTTGGGGAATCCCGATCGGGATCGGAGTTCAGCGCTTGTTAAAACGTCATAAGGCGGTCCGGATACGTGCGGGATCTCCCAACCGGTCGTGCGGGGTAGGTTGGGATATCCGGACCGTTCCAGCCCGCACAAAGTGTCTCATTTCCCAATCCCGTCCCACTCCGGTCCCGATCGGGGTGGTGCGGGCTGAGTCCGAAAATCCCGATCGGGAACGGAGTGGGATTGCTGGCTGGGATGGCAGTAGTGTTAATATTTGTTGATAATGAACTATGTTCGTTCACTTCAATTTTTTTTTAAGTTCATGAATCATTAATTTTTTTGATTCAATCAACTCTGATTCCCAATGCGTTTGATTCAATCATGGCTTGTGAATCAAACAATCCTGACGGTGAATCAAACCTTTTTGATTCAACAAATTTTGTTTGATTCAATCCAATCGATTCAATCACAGATGAATCAAACACCAGTCTGTTACCTAAACTGAACAATTTCTGACATTTCCTGAAGGGTTCCAAAATATTTTCAGCTTTGTTACTGTTTTGGGCTATCGATTTACCCCATACCTGCAATCAAAGCTTTCTAAGTGACCTACGATTCTAAGATTTCTTCTCTGTTTGCCCGCACCTACGGGTGCGATTTCTTTTTGCCTGAATTTTGTGTTAGCACGATTCTATTTTTCAAGTCATTTGTTCCAAAGTAACCGACATACAGTACACATAAATTTTATATTAGGGATATATATATATATATATATATATATATATATATATATATACCTATATATATATATATATATATATATATATATATATATATATATATATATATATATATATATATATATATATATATATATATATATAAATTCATTTGTTAAATTTTAATATTTGTTAAAATAATCGCTCTGAATTCACAGTGCAACTGTTAAATCGCCAATCTCTCAAAATTAAATTCTTCGAAATTCAGCAAAGCATACCTATATTCGTCAACATATAAAAGGGAACTGATTGGTACATATTTTACAATCTGTACCCAATTAAAAAGGTCATTACTCTTTACCTCATTACGCGTTATGCTATAAAAAGACAATCACGAACAAGGAAATGCTTCTCAATTGGCAAACACTTGGTGTTTGCTATGTTCAGCATGCTTCTCGCTCTTACGTCAGCTTCCGCCGCTCCTCTGCCCTCCCACTCCCCCTCTCTCCCTCCTGCTCCCAGCGCTCTGCCCCGTCGACTGCGCCGCGCCAGTTTGAGAACCCCCGGTTTGCGTCTCAGGTATGCCAGTGGTCGCCGCCGCCGCCGCCGCCGCCGCCCGCAGCACAGCCAGTCACCCGCAGGCCTGAGCCGTGGTTTCTCACACGGCGAAACTAGCGAACGCAGCGAGCGAGCAGCAGTGATCGAGGCGTGGCTGAACCGTGTGTGAGTGTGTGAAACGGTTGTGTGATACGCAGCGGCGAAATCACGCAGTGAAATCACGCAGTGGATGCCACACATTGGAGTGCAAACAGAGGTGAGTGGTGTGAACAGGTGCGGTGAGACAGGGTGAGCTCGGGTCAACGCACCCGCTCACCCCTCCTCACCTGAGTCGGCAGGTGAATCGAAGCAATTCTTATCTTTGTTGTGGGTTGGAGACTCCATATTGGCCTGACGGCGGCGTGGATGTAACGTGGAGCTCAAAAGGCACTGCGTCAACTAGAATTTCCGACGTTTTACTTGGTAAACCATGTTTGCTGACTGCATTGTATGCATGCATCATTTCCATGACGTGAATAAGCATACATTAGTCACTTCTAGAACAACAAAGCGGGGTGAATCACATCCACCTTTGATGCCGAAAAGTATCAACTGCAGAGCGAGGCATGGGTAAAGCCCACGCCCTCTCGGCCCCCATGGCCTTGGCCCTCATGCAGGATCGGCCGGGTTCTGTCGGTGGCTAAATCAGCTGTCTGCAGCAGCTGTCGGCTGGCCGGCTGGAATCTGTGGCAGCTGCCTGCAGCTGCTATTCATGAGCCAGCTGTCCCGCTGTCTAATGTATCTGTGTGCCATCCATAATCCAGCTGTCTGCAATAGCTGTCTGCCCTGCGACATTCGGCCACTGTCATTTCTTGCCCAGCTGGTTTCAGAAGCTTTCGGCTGTCTAGCAAGAGTCTGAAATAGCTGGCAGCTGGTCAGCTGATCACAGCAGCTGATTGCAGCAGCTGCCATCCCGGTTTCCGGATCGACAACTCAGCCGCCATCTCACTATTATGCCGTGTCTGGCGGTGTCTGGCGGTGTCTGGCGCGGTATTTTACGGCTGAGGAAGCCATGGTGACTCATGCCTTCACTGGCCCAGGCTGAGTTAGTCAGGTGTCTTGCTGCAGGCTTAGCCTGAGGGCAGTAGCACAGTCCAAACAGGATCTTGCAAACCGAACGAATTTTTAGGAGATGTTAGCTTTTTGCCCTTTTTGACGTTTTATTATCATTATTATTATTTTTTGTCATCTGCTGTAAGGCTTCAGAGCAAAGAAGAGGTTTGGACAACGTGGCGGGCCCCTTGAGCTACCGATGGCCCTCCTAAGCCACCGAGGGACCCTCGCCCCTCAGCAGTCAGCACTATTGATGCACGACATGAGATTGTGGCAGAGCTCCCTGAACACGTGGCGGGGACCTTCTCAGCTACCGAGGAGCTCTCAAGTACGTGACGTGGGCCCCTGGCCTACTGAGGGGCCCTCTTGCCCCTCTCAGCGCCTGACATCAAAAGGCGGTCTCGTACGCTGTCACGCTGAGGGGTTATACTCCCCGAAAATTCTCCAAATTCTAAAGACTCATCGGATTTCGATCCTACGCACTGCCGTGCAGGTTTTCCTAATAAAGGCTATATTAACCCTCGCACGACCAGGCCATTTCTCATAACACGAACGACCAGGGAGGGGGTTGTTACGACCCCCCCCCTGGCGTTTCGAAACGGAAGGTCGTAGAGCTTAGCGGAAAAAACGAACGGATTGCTCTCAACGAGATCTCGCGATTGGTGGTATATTTTTTGGTCCTAGGTCAACATTTGACCTACTTATGACCGGTCAAAGGTCAAATTTTCCGAAAAAAAACAAACTTTTTCAACTTTCCGCGGCGATTGCGGCAAAACGGTGGGAGATATCGACTTGAAACCTTCACTATCGTGTTCCTTGATCAATTCTCTATCGTTTGGTATGTATTTCGTTTCCCTAGCTCTAAAAATGGCGCGTTGGGAGCGCCGGAAGTCGGCAAGGTCACAGGCGGGGGCAGAAATTCGAAAAATCAAAATTTAAATTTTTGAAATCTGATTGTATTTTTGGATTTGGGAGGTCCATTTGCTCCCTATAGAAGCTAATATTGCTGCATATTCCCATTGAGGTGACAAGAATTAGCAAAATAGTGGTTCGGGCGCTTTTCAAAAATAGTACCGGACGCTGTTCCTCTTGTGACGTCATAGCTCCGTGACCTGACCTGACCCGGTCAATTTTCTTGCACCACACGATAGCCAATGCTTGCCCCAACATGCATGGGAAGTTTCATCATGATCCATCAAACAATGTGGGTATCACCGGCAGAAAACCTAGGGATTCGGCGCACACGTTTGGTAACTGTCGGCCGGAGGCTGTACCTCTTATGACGTCATAACTCCGTGACCTGACATGACCCGATCAATTTTTTTTCGGCAAAAGATGCGGAAAGGTTGCCCCAGAGGGTATTGAAAATTTCAGCCCGCTACAACAAGCCGTTTAGCGTGCACTTCGAAAAAACCTCAGGGGGGGGGGGTTGATACAACCCCCCCCCTAGGCGTTCTAGGGTTAAGTTTTCGTTTTATTATCGGAAAAAATCGCAAATTATCGCCGATTTCGGGCGCTGCGGGGAGGGGGGGGGGGGGGCATTTGCGCATAATGCCCCCGCGTGGGTCCGCCAGTGGCATATTCGTAGATCCCCGTTCAGCTTCTTTCAATCAATTTCTAGCTTTAAAGCTGGCTAAAGCTGGCTCCGTCTCCAAAGTCGTGGGCCAGACCTCATTGGGGAGGGCTACTGACATGAGATAAAGGAACGGGCGGCGTCTAATTGCTATTGCTCCAGCATGACCTTCGACTGCGGGCAGTGTCGGGCACCACTTTTTTCGAGGCTGACTGGGAGAAGCAAGACGGGATGGGAAGAGGAGCTCGCAGGCAGTGCAGTAGCTATCATATTACCCGAGACTGACGGGGGGCAAGGGAGGGGAAGGGAGGTCGCTGCGAGGGCGGAGTGTCGGATTCGACGACCCGTCGGTTCATTGGCCTTGCGTGTGACACCGCCTGTCGGCCGACGAATCACTGGTGTCATATTCCGCTGGCACTAGGCGACACTCTTACGATGTGTGGAAGGAGGGGGGGGGGGGGGGGGGGGGGGGGGGGGGGGGGGGGGGGGAGGACGTGTCAGCGTGGAGGTCAAGGTGCTTACTTTGTCAAATGTTGTCCGTGTTCTGGAGTTAAGTGTGGACTAAGTGTTGTTACATCTTCGTCTGCAGAGAATGGAAAGAGGGTAATACGACTAGGACACTGAAACTATAACTGGGGATGCGTGGGCAGGCTAAATGCGTCTTACTTAACTGGATCACAATGTTGAGCTCTGTATTTTGCTAGGAAGGAAAATTATAGACGGAAGATTCGTTCGAAATACGCATTTATGCTTTCTGATGTATCCCCGGTAATTGGTGATGTTGAAAATGGGTGGCTGCATGTGACCCAATAATGAAATGGGAATTGTTCATCGTTCAAGCAATATGCTTCTGGATGCGTTTATGCCTTGGCAAATATCTAGGTCGCTAGCATTGCAATTTAAAATGTAAATAAAGTGATACTTATCAATAATAAGCGTTTAAATGTTCCGGTTTGCAAATCAGATAATTTTTAATGAAGTGAAATATCGTTGTCTGATTATTAGCGATACATTGTACATTAGGAGGGTCTACCAAAGAACAAAGCAAGTTACAAAGAACACCATCCGGACCAAGGAAAGAAAAACCGCAGCTTCATTGGCTGAGTTTATTGTTGAACACAACGCAAATCCCAACCTCAGACCAATGCCGAGATCTCGCGTGACTCAGCCGATTCAATCACGGTACTTTTACTGCGGAGTTAACGGTTCCTTCTGTTCTGAGTGTTCTCCTCCCGATGTTTAAAGCTTGCCGAGCCTCTCCCTCCCTGCTCTTACCTTCACCATTCAACCATTGATTGTCCTCGCTGGTTATCGGATATATAAATCAAGAAATACCGGACGCAGTAGAATTTTCATGGAACGGATAAAAGTACGCATCGCGGATGTTCGAATGGCAATTCTACGTCAGCAAATATAGGCACGCCGGACAGAAGTACCTACGTATGACAATTGTACGTCAGTACATATACGTAGGACAAAAGGAAAACAAGTAAACAAGAAAAAAAGGTGCAAACATACGCAGAGCAATCGTAACTTCGTGGGATATTACGTATGTGGGGACAAAAGTCCGCCACCGACGTAAGTACATTCGTCCACATTCGTCAGCAAATTTACTTAGAACGCAAATACATAAGATAGATATACGTAAGAGAAGAAATGCGTAGAAACAAAAGTACAATACAATACAATACAATATAATACATCACGTCCGGAAGTATGGCTCAAGTCCCATATTACCCCGTTCCTTACTGTATGCCAAGCCAACGTGAGGTGTCCGGTATACCTCCCATCAATGAGCTCCCACGCTACAGAAAATGTCCGCCGACGCCGCCCCGATAGGCGCCCGCCCGTGAGAATCGGCCGGCACCCGCGCGGACTGTAAATGGCGAGTGTTGGGAAAGCTGCTAGCCACGTCTGGGGATTGGGAGCACTAGGTCTGGACAGGTGCAGGCGGGCAGGAGGGGTGGGAGGATGGGTGTGTGAATTTAAATATAGATGTGAATATGCTAATGGGAAAATGTTCTTCACATCAATGATCAAGTCATATGATGTGTGGGGTAACTCGTATTCGCATCTGTAGTGGAAGAAACCAAGGACATATTTATCATGTCAACATGATTGTGTGCCAGGCATAAGCAACTAAATTATCCCAGGAAAATAGCTGCTATTTGGGATAGGTTTTTAAAAGAACAAAAGGAGTTTCGGATTTCACATGCACGGCTTACTTCATCACTTGAATTGCATGATTAGCGTCACAACTTCAGCATTTAACTAGTCATACGCGGGTCACGCTATGGGCATTGATTATTTACCCCGGAGTAGTGTGCTCAACACAGGGCCTGTGGGAAGCGTATACCGTTAGCCGACAGCCTGATCCACCAACTATAGCTTTTCTGGTAGGGTCATGTTCACTTGGAAAGTGCGAAGGTAAGCCATACATCACGAAATCACTTTGCAGAGACGAAGCTGCCATCACCCAAGACAATATGTATTACATTTTTTCTTTCATAAAGTTGCTTACGTTATTTGCTCATAAGCATGCCTTTGGACAGTGTCCGTCATTTGCTGGGCAAGCCCATTATGGACCGGGCTGCTCTGAATGAATGATGTATAAACGGGCTCTATGTACATTGTACATGCATACATAGACAGGACGGGACTCCCACCGGACTGCATTGTATTACATACGTTGAATGTTGACTTTCAATGGGCATTTTTCTGTGCCTAATCACAAGATCAACTCATGCAATGCTTAGGTACTGATGCCAGCACTCTGTTATTTATAAAGAATCTATATTTGTGAGGTTTGACAAAGTTTCTTTAAATCAACATTTATTTAATCGTTAATCAGAAACTGATAAAGTTCGAAGAAAATCTCACATAGCGGAATCATTATTCCTTATTTCAAACCACCTTGAGTTACTGACCTTAAGGGTCTCAATGGATGCAGAAACATCAATTTATACCTTAACCCGCGACCTGGTGGGGGGGGGGGGCTATTTTTTGCCCCCCTCCAGACTTTTCGATATATCTCCAGAACCGCTGCGCCGATCGTCACCAAACTTTCAGTACCCTCCCGGACATCAATTTTACACATTGTGACCAAAAATTTTTCCAAAGACTATGATAGGTTGGCCGGAAATGACGTAAGAGTGACGTCATGTTCTGCCGTTTTCGACCCAAAAAAGGGTTTCGCGGGAAGAGCTGTCAGGCCTATAGCTTTGCAAATACAGAAAAATGATAAAGACATCAAAGCTGTAGATTCGACAGGGCTACAAAATTGCTATCTCGGATTTTTGAAATTTTTGAATTTTGACCCCAAAAAATCAAAAAATAGATTTTTTTGGATATAATAATCGAAAAATCCAAAAAGCTTTTTTGAATTTCGCAAAAACCGGAATATATGTGATAGTCCTTACCGCCTTCCATCCACATACCAAATTTGAGATTGATACCTCTTTTTTGGCGAAGTTATAGCGAAAAAACTGTTCAAAATTGATGACGTCAAATTTTCAAACTCAATTTTTAGCAAGTTTAGACCCCCGTAGCGCAAAACAAAGACCACCATTAGACTCCCCGTGACGAGCTGCATCGAATCAATACCCATTTTATGCAAAACTATCAACTTTAAAATTTGACCTTTTTTGGCCTGACCTTGACCTGACCTTGACCTGAACTTCACCAGAAAGTGACCTAAGCCGTACCTGATAGTCTTATAACCAACACCATTGAGTTGGAAATGAAAAATTGGCCATAAAACATGTATCACACAACCTTAGTAAAGTTGGGCTCATGTGGCCTGACCTGTGACCCTTGGTGACCTGACCTGTGACCTGACCTGGTATTGCCAGTGACCTCTAATAGCAACATATCTACTAGGCAACTGACGCCCTACCGCTGATTCTCGACAAAATGCGTTTTCCTCGGTGTTATAGCGCATTCCCTAGAAGACCCGTGAACGGTGAAACATTTCATCTTTGACCTGACCTGTGACGTCATCGGTGACCCCGAGGTCAATGAAATTTGGATTCCTTCGACAAATTTGACAGGCCTTTCGAACGCCGTTTAAATTTTGCGGATCCGTCCAGTAGTTTCGGAGATACGAGGGGGGGCAAAAATAGCCCCCCCCCCACCAGGTCGCGTTATAAACAGACCCCACCAGGGCGCGGGTTAAGGTATGCTTAAGGTATGCTATATTTCGTCTAGTGAGCACACTCGCGTCATTCAGACAAGGAAAGTCCGAACAAAGCTTTGAATGAACGAAAGCCCTCTTGGCTTCCGGGATCTCCTGAATTCTAGCGCAGATGATGAGCTGACCTACCGCTATTTTGGCGGCCATTGACCTTAGGTACTTTAGGTCACGCGAACAGTCGACAAACTGAACCAACCGTGACTTTCCTTGTGATGCTTCTTAACAATACTACAACATCAAATTGATTGCATCAGGGAAGATTGCGTTTGTCATAATCATTCAAATCATTTCCTGCTTCTTACAACCCAAGTAGCACTCGACACTCCACTCTTCCTTCAGTGACCAGCAACTTCACCCTATCGTTACATCAGGTCACATCAGACAAAAACCCGTCAGAATCTGCCCGTCCCATGAGCTCCACCCTTCAGGGTCGTTTCTTCGTCCAAGTAGCGACTAGCGTCGCCCGCGCCCGCGCTGCCGTTAGGTAGCGGAGAAGTGGGTCAGGTGTAGGTCGGGCCAGCTAGCCGACCGACCGTCCGGCCAGCCGGCCGCGCGCGGCGAGCGGTCACATTCCTTCAGACGCGGCGATGGTCCGCTGTGACCAGCGAGACCGGACATGGCCTGGCAACTCTGTCTGGCAACTGAGCGCTGACTGGACTGGCGGGGCCGGTTGGGCAGTTTAAAGATAAGGGAGTTGATCTGGCGGATCGGTGAGACAGGTTTTTCTATCGGTCATCGCGTTTCGGTCCCGGAAACTTGTCAGAAGCTCAGCGTGACTCGAAGGGCGTGCGTAAGTGAGAATTTGGGATCGTCTTTGCGGCTCTCAAATGAGACAAATAAGATGCTACAAAAAAAACAGAAACAACCCATAAGTTATATTTTGCTTAGGGATGGAAGGGGTCTTCTGACCAATTCACATGGGATACCTATTACCCAACCCGAAGACGTTTGGTTTACACTTTATTTAGTTATTTTAATTTAGTCGTTAGGTAAGTCTTCTTTGGAAGTTTATAACACAATCGTCCGCGAAAATATGCATGCAAAGTTGATGGAAGTCGGGCTATTAATTACAGCCCACTTGTGTTTTGCTAGCATTTCTATGCTACTTTCGTTAATAGCTATTTCTGCTCTGTTTCAGATGTTAACCAGGTAGCTGAGTAACCACCGGACCACCAAAAAAGGAAGAAATGGAATACGAAGCGGTGAGTATGTTGTAACATCGATGGCCGCCATGAAAGATTGAGTTTTTAAGTCCCACGGGCGTTATAAAATGGGTACTCATGAGTCAGATTGTCGTGTTAGTGTGCAGCTGTCGGCCCACCCCGGTCACTGTGATGTGGGTATGAGCCCCTGTGGTGTGACTAGAACTTTTGTGGTGTGACTATAAGAGGCCCTGTGACGTGGCTAGAGCCTCGGTGATGTGGTTATGAATGAACTTTGAACCCACCGGCCACTGAGGTGCGGGTGTAAGCTTATACGGCTGGATATGAGCCCAATTTCCGCCATGCTTGTGTATATGTAAGCCAGAATTTAAATGTCAAGTCAAGCGCGATATGATACACATTGAGTTAGACGTCAGAGGGCCAGCATACGCAAACCTCCTGGCTTCACTATGAGCTCCGAGCGAAAGTCCAAAACAGTAGGCATAAACTGTGAGCAAAAAAACCATCGTTCAAATTACCCGGCTGGTGGAGACTGCATCAGTGCATAGGGCGGTAATATCCGGTGGTGACTGCATTACATCACAAGAAAACATCTAGCGCCTGGTGCAGGATCCAGCCACAGCGCTTGATCTACGTGCCAGACTTTTTGCTTCGTGTATCTTCTAGAATATCTTCCTAAATACCTATCCCGTCCACAGTCCACCTATACATAAGCCGAAGCGGAGACTGCATTAATGCATAAGACGGTAGCACCAGGCGGTGGTGACTGCATTACATCACAAGAAGACATCCAGCGCTTGGTCAGAGAAGTGCCACAACGTTTGTTCTACGTGTAAAACTTTTTGCTTCGCTGTGTGGCAGCACCCATGCCACTCCCGTCACTTCCTTTCCTTTAGTGCTCCACCGGAAGCCGCACGTGAGATTGTGGCCGACTTATCTCACCATAAGGAGGACATACAACAGTTGGCGGGAGCGAGAAAGGCATCTCCGACCGCACCTTGTGGAGGTGAAGGCGAGAGAGAGAGAGAGAGAGAGAGAGAGAGAGAGAGAGAGAGAGAGAGAGAGAGAGAGAGAGAGAGAGAGAGAGAGAGAGGGAGAGAGAGAGAGAGAGAGAGAGAGAGAGAGAGAGAGAGAGAGAGAGAGAGAGAGAGAGAGAGAGAGGAACAGTAAGAGGGAGAGGGAGAGGGAAGGAGTGGCAGAGTGAGAGCCCGCTATAGGGAGTGGCTTGCTTTCCCGCGTTGATTTGTTTTACATGTTTAGATATTAGCACCGGATGCCATGCATCAAATGTCGTGACATACTGTGTTGTACCGTCTTGTCCTGAGACTTAGCGGTCCTAGCTGTAATGTGTAGGTTAAAGCTACGTCGTGTCGTGGATATTGTACCATGTAGTGGATATAACTAGTACCACATCATCCTTCACTGTCCCTTGGTAGATATATGGTCACATGGCACATTGCATGGTACCGTACCAGTCCGTCCCGTGCAATACTGCATCTGTTTCCACCAGACTCGTGCCGTGCCTTGTTGTGTCGTTATGGGTGATACGAGTTAAGCCTTGTTTCTGCATCTATCGCGTACCTCTGTTATGTCGTACCCTGTTGTGTTGTACCCTGTTATGTCGTACCCTGTTGTGTCGTAGTTTGATGTATCGTATCTTATTTAGTGTCGCATAGTTTTGTGTCGTACTCGTAGCTTGTGGTACATTGCTGCGTTCCATTATGTTCCATTATGCCCCTTTCCAATCACTCGCATCGTACTCTGCTGTGTCGTAACTCGTACTTTGTGTCGTACCGTATTGTGTCGCGTCCGTTTCTTACAAACGATCGCATAGTTCATACCGAGCTATTCCTTGCTGCATTGCACAGTCCCTCCCCGGAGTCTAGGATGCCCTCCTCTATCAGCTCATGTTGCACGCTCGATAATCTCAGCCCAAGGCCGTATAAGTGACAGTCCCCCACCGCGACAGCGGTGTGTGCCCAATCCGAACCCTCGCGCGCCGCACGGCCAATAACAACATAGTGGTCGTTGTTTTTTGGTTAGGGCTTCAGATGCGCATTCTTGTCTTGCGCGTACACTACTTTAGCTTGGTTTATATATGGTCTTCTTCCAGGTGTGGGAGTTTTTATTGTCTTCTCCGAACATTCCTAGCGGGTTTTTGGCTATTTTTACGGACGCCGTGTTGATTGATGGAATTTACTAGTGACCTGCTTCAAAGTTATTCCGCATCTCACATACAGTTTCCTAATGCTTGCCTAATGCCGGCCAATCTTTATGCTATGTTTGTTACCATTTTGATCCTCGTTGACGTTGCTTCATCATGTGTTTTTTTCAGATTTCTGTGATCGAAAGTGCGCAGACGACTGACACAATTCTCTCAATCGCTCCGTGCTGCCAAAGTAACTTAGCGTAGTTTGATTCAAACATATTAAAATTGCAATATTTAATGTCATTTCGCATGCCCAGGATGACCTAACGCATCTCGTTCCATGTATTGTGACCTGTTTTGTGACTTTTGCTGTCTGTGGGCCCTCAGGGTAACCTAGTGTAATTTGACCCCGGTAATTCTGTAGTGTGACCTTTGGTGCATGCCTGTTCTCACGGTGACCTGGTGTGGTTTGACCCCTTTACTGTGACCTTTGATATTTGTTCGTGTGCTTACAGGGTGACCTGGTGTGGTTTGACCCCGGAGTCGGCTACGTCCTCCCCGGCGAGGTCATGGAGTACCACCGGCTCGGTCAGGTCGTCACCGTGCAGGCGGTCGTCAACGGAGAGGTCAGTAACACTCGACCTGCTGGTAGACCTGCCGGTATATCTGTTGACCCTTGGTAGACCTGTTGGTAGGCCTGTAGGCGTGTTGGTAGATCTGGCAGACCTTTTGGCAAAGCTGCAAGACCTGCTGCTAGACCTGTCAGGTCTGTTAGTAGAATTGTTGGTAGAGTAGACCTGTCTGTAGACCTGTAAGGTCTATTGGTAAATTTGTTGGTAGGCTCGCTGGAAGACTTGTTGGACCTATTGGTAGACCCGTCGAACTTACAGATAGACGTGGTGAACTTGGTAGGTCTGCTTGGAAGGTCTAAGTGAAACTATGGGGGGGGGGGGGGGGGGAGTCCGAACCCTCGCGACCCTCCCCCCTCGGTGGCAAAACCCCTTCAAAGTGGTCTCAAAAGCATGTCTATTCCACACAAGCTTAGGGGAAGCGGGGGTAACACCGCCCCCCTAAGCTTTTCGCCAAAATGAGAGAATATGTGTGAAGTCTCTTGGTAGTTATTGTTTTGGTTACAATATTTAAACATTTTCTCACGTGTTTTAGGTACTTATTTTGCATGCTCCTAAAAGGTTTTCATGTATCACGACTTTTAAAAATACCTTGCATATTTGCTGCCTACAAATTGTGTGGGTAACCCCGCCACCGGTGTTGATGTTAACCCAACCCATTCCTACGAAAGCTTTTAATTGTTCAGAGATCGTGTGCGATGAGTTTCCTGTCGGTAGGTGGTAATTTTCGCAAATAATCGGTAATGGACACCTAAATAGGTAAAGGTTCATCAGCTGTTTGCCAGTTTTATACAGCTGGCAAGTGCTTGGTCGGGATGCATGAAAAATATAAAGTAAAAAATCAAATAAGCTGCTTATTCCCGACTTAGGAACATCTACGAACATAAATAAAGCGTGTCTTTGGAGTTTCATCACTTATCACGCTACAAACAGGAAACACCGCAACCTCAATTGGGGTAACACCGCCACGGGGTGGCGGTGTTCCCCAATAAGTGATCACAAGCAAAAATCGCCAGCGGTAAGAATGTACTACACGGTTCAAGCAAACTTATCTTACTGGACAAAGCCGATCAGTTATTTGTCGATGTAATCAAGTAAATCAAAATGAGTCTCACATTCAAAAGTGCTCCCAACTCATCGAATTTTTATAAGAGAATGTGCATTTTTCTTTAAATGCCCACATTGAGCTTCGATTACACTGAAACACCGGAACACAAATCAGAAGACGCTTACCTTCGTGCGGTCAATAGGAAAAAACGGATTTTTACACTTCACATTTCATACTTTCGCCGCCAGATGGGGTGGCGGTGTTTCCCACAGTGGCGGTGTTACCCCCGCTTCCCCTATAAGAGTGACTTGAATGAAATGGTCAGCAGCAGGTGGATGTTTTGAGAGCTCTTCATGTCGCCGGCTGCCCTGCTACAAGGTTACTTTCCCTGCTACTCTGATGCTGCCTGCACCTGCTAAAACGCTTGGTCAATGGGAATCGACTAATAGAGGTTCGGAGGGATATGGGGGAATGGCTGGTGACTCATTCATCACTATAACGGCTCTCAGAGGCGGAATATTGTATCGTTGACCCACAGTGGTGCTGGTGTTACGGTATTTGACCTTGGTTTCGATTGCAATTCACATCAGGAGCAAAGAGACGAACTGAATAGTGAACAGCGCTCCGATCTGAACGTTCCCTCGGTTCCATTCAATGCGTAATATGCTAGCCGCGCCTTTCATACCTCTAACCTGGATCTGGCTTGAAGTGCAAACTTATCATAACACCGCAGCAATACGAGTATGTATTGTGAGCGATGAAGGTAATTAACGTTTGTGAATGCCTTTTCAGCCTCAGCTTTACACACTGACAAACCTGGCCAACCTGAGGAAGAGGCAAGACCTCGGGCAAAATGGCGTCGACGACATGATCTTGATCGGGTAAGGGGTTGTTTATGGCCTAAAATGTGTTTATATTATCCCAGAAGTAGTTTTGGTAATTTTGCCCACTATAAAATCAGTTTCCTAGATGTATTTGCAGCTTTCACAAAATTGATAACTTTTTACCTTTAATTAGTTATTTCTCCCATTTCCAGGCTACAAATGAAAGAGACTGATTGTGTTGTTATTTTATCATATTAATAAGTGCGTTATTTACGATATAGTTTGAGCATGTAAGATGCCTTTTTATGTGCAACGTATTGATAACGCTTTTGTTTTCAGGGACCTCAACGAAGCCTCAATTCTCTGGAATTTGAAGCTCCGCTACGACAAAGAGCTCATATACGTAAGCATTTACTTTTTACACGCCCACTTCACATAACCATAGTCCTGTCTGTCACTCCTGCCTAAGCATGAATTATATTTTCTTGGGGCTGATTTCATGGGCTTGGTAACTAATGTAATATTTGTTGCCCCACACATAACTAGTATAAACGTTAAGGCCCATTTTCAGCTCAGTTATGCATTTTTTGACTGATTATCCATGTTTACCCATTTCAGACATACACGGGCAGCATCCTGGTCTCCGTCAACCCGTACCGCATGTTCGACATCTACGGGCTCGACATGGTGAAGCGGTACGAGGCGCAGCTGCTCGGGTCACTGCCACCGTAAGTGATACCGAAGATGGGACAAATACCGAGGGACAAAGTTATGATGGATGGATTGTAAGCGTCCTGCCTTTCATAAGCTAGTGCAAGGTCTTGCCTGCGAATTACATTGGTCGGCAGTGATTGTTGAATCATTCAGCGACATCAGATCGCTTTGTCATTCATATTTGAAGGTAACTACTACCTGAGGGAGTAACTGGTATTTTGTTTGCTGCTGCTGTGCGCATGCTCACGAAGTCCGATATTTGCATATCGTGTATACCTGTTGATTATCGGCCGTTCTATAGCTTGAACGATCTATTGATAGCCATCTTCCTATCCAAGTTACCTTACCTATCGCCGATGGACTGTGTATCCGCTTCATTAAGATCTGTCTGCCTTCAATCTGTCATGTCATCACTCGCATTGTAAACAGCAGTCTTGTGTCGCATCGTGTCCCGGACTCATGGAAGGTGGCGCTTGTTCATCCAATTCAGAAATCGTCCAAGTCTACCGAGGTCGCGAACTATCGGCCCATTTCTATTTTACCCACCATAGCGAAAATCGTCGAACGCGTTGTCTACGAGCAGCTCTTTTACTACTTCGCCGCTCATCACCTCTTCTCGTCATCTCAGCACGGTTTTAGATATAACCACTCGACCGACACGGCGCTTTTATCCGTCACTGATCACGTGTTTACGGCTATGGACCGCAGTCAAATCACGCTTTTATGTCTTCTCGACTGTTCCAAATGTTTTGATGTGATTCCACATGACCCACTGCTGCACAAACTTCAACTATATGGCGTCGACACCCGCTGGTTTAGCAGCTATCTTGACGGTCACTACCAGCGGGTGCAGCTTCAGGATGCCGCCTCAGGGCGGATTGTGACTTCAGAGGCGCTTCCTAACCCGATCGGCACGTATCAGGGCTCAGCGCTCGGACCGCTTTTATTTTCGATTTATGCCAACGATTTACCTTTGTACACGGAGGGCGCTCACGTCGTGCAATACGCTGACGACACCCAGGTGGCAGTCAGCGGTGGGATCGGCGACATCGGCTCCCTGGTGCAGCACATGGAGCACAACCTGGCCCTTCTTTCTCGATGGTTCGGCAAAAACGGCATCAAAATTAACGCACAAAAGACCCAGTTCATCATTCTTGGCTCGCGACAAAACATTCAACGTCTCCCCACAGTCAACATCAAGTTAATGGATGCCGAGGTCGCCGCTTCCGCCGCCGTCCTAAACCTGGGTGTCACTTTCGACCAGCATATGACTTTTACCCCGCATGTAGACAGCGTTGTGCAAAAATGCACTGGCATCCTGTGCGGATTGAGCCACAGCAGGCACAGTCTGCCTCAGTCAACCCTGTTGACGCTCATTCAGGGACTTGTCATTTCGCGCATTTTATACTGCTTGGTCGTATACGGCGTGTGTAACAAGACCCAGATGAGGCGCATTCAGAAGGTGTTGAACTTTGCCGCCCGTGTCTTATCCGGTCGAAGGAGGTACGATAACATCAGCGACCTTTTGGACCGTCTTGACTGGCTTACTGCAGAGCACCTGTATCTATACCGCGGTCTTATCCTACTGAAGCGCATGTTAATGACATCGGAGCCCGAGTCGATCGCCGGCGACCTAGTCACTCGTGGTGATGTTCACCATCGTACCACACGGAACGCCGATCATTTAGTCATGCCGGCGAGTCGATCGGAGTCAGGCAGGCGTCGTTTTAAGCACTCGATCGTTACCGCCTATAATGCTTTGCCACGTGAGTTGCGAAACTTTACTGGAGGCTTTAAGAAACAACTCAGGCAACACCTGCTTATGAAGCAGCGGGGCAGCGTCGGCTAGGTGTACCTTAAAGAGCAGGCGTGTGTGGGTTAGTGCGTGTGCATGTGTGCATGTTGACCTAAATGACCGTTTTTATCTTTGCGACTGCAGGGTGCGGAATAGCCACTGAACTATGTGGATGTGCCCCGTGACGTAAATACATACATACATGCATACATATCATTCGTTTATCTGAAAAGGCGCTATTTCATATTCTTGTACGTTTTCAGGCACATATTCGCCATCGCGTCATCAGCCTATAGCCGGATGACCAAGGAGCGAGAACAACAAACCGTGATCATCAGCGGCGAAAGCGGCGCGGGTAAAACCGAGGCCACCAAGCTCATCATGCAGTACCTGGCTGCCGTGAACAAGTCGCCATCTAACCTCATCACTGAACAGATCCTGGAGGCCACGCCGCTGCTGGAGAGTTTCGGCAACGCCAAGACTATGCGGAACGATAACTCGTCACGGTTCGGGAAGTACCTGGAGGTGTACTTCAAAGAGTAAGTGTTTCCACACGGGTTTTGGGAACAGTGTTGTTAGGATTACATTTCTTGAGGAAAGAGAAAAGTTATTTTTTTCTGCATTTCAATATAAGGTCTCATATGTTATACTGGCAGTGACAACACCGATCAAAGTAAACGAAGATCTCCTGGTAACTAATTGCAAGTGTGCATTCATACACTGCATAGCTCAAAAGGGCGTCTAGGACTCTAGTTGTTCATGCACACGTCCACAGGATGTGCGCAGGGTGACCTAAAAAAAAAACGCATAAGGTTGTCTGAATGGCACTTGAAACGATCCGTAGTACTATTTGTAATCTGTTCTATGCATAATGAGCTGCGATTTGTAACTGTTTAGATGTTTTTTTTTTAACCCCAACCCGTCTTTCCCCAGTGGCATCATCACCGGTGCTCGTACCACCGAGTACCTCCTGGAAAAGTCCCGAATCGTCACCCATGCTCAGGACGAGCGCAACTATCATGTCTTCTACGAAATGCTGGCCGGTCTCAGTGAACAGGATCGCAAGAAATACGGCCTGCTCAGTGCCGAGCAGTACTTTTACCTGAACCAGGCAGGACAGAGCACGGCATGTAACACTTTCTTTCTTCTCTGTCACTTTTTTGTTGGCTTTGTATTATAAGGCATGGGTTGGGTTTGTGTCCTTGTTTGTGTGCGTGTGTGCGCGCGTGAATGTGCGTGTGCATGGTTTTGTGTGATTGTTCGGGTGTGTCTAAGTGCAAAGTGGTTTGTTTTCCTTTATGCGCCGACCAATATTTTTGGCATAACTTATTTTGAACATACTTTTGCGTGACATGCTCTTTATTATTGTCTTCTTTATATTCTCATGTGCACACTTCTGCATCTTCAAATGTTTTCTTGGCCCTGGTCAATGTTTCATTGCAAAGGACCAAAATTTATCTGTAGTCACTTGCGTCACCTCAGTTTTATCGACACTTCATGCGATAGCTTGCTCATGCCTGTCAGTTACTATAGTCATGTTTCGTATATCTTTCTTTCAAGGAACGACATTTTTCCGCATGCATGGTTTTAAACGGAGACCTGCTTGGTTTGAGCGCTTCTTACTCTAGTGAATTGATTACGAATAATTGGCCCCACATGAGATTAGGGATTGATTCTCGCTTGGAAAATGTGTGACATGATTATTTCTTCCCTGTCGCATAAAACAAGCAGTTTTAAGACCTCACTTCTGTTTTACGTAATTGATTGCAGGTATTTTTTACACTCGATTACACAATTGCCCCGCTTATTCTTCTTGTTTTTTTCCCCAACTCTGCGATCTTCATGCATCAATACATCCGTGCGGAGCGATGCTTTACACCCATTGCTCTTTATTCCCACAGGGTGGAAGTGTTGAGATTGACGGCAAGTACGACAAGGAAGACTTCCAGGCCCTACTCTCCGCCATGCAGGTCCTCGGCTTCACATCTGAGGAGAACGACACCATCTTCAAGATACTTGCATCGGGTATGTGTATGGATTGATGACTCGCAAAACTACAGCGCGAAAGTCTGCATGGACACACTTCCAATTCATGCTCAACACTCATTGTGTGCGCATTGATTCATCTTTTAGGTATGGCTAGCAATTGATGGGGAAAAGAACAAATTGTATTGGAGAGATTAGAAGTTTCTTTTTCTCATATTTGCAATAGTTATTTATTTATGTACTTATCAAGGTATTTTATCATCAACCGTCTTCGATATACATGTATTCTGGCGAGCATGTCAAATGCATTTACAAAATCGATTGAATTACAACCTAACAAACAGCTTCTTTCCTTCAGTGCTTCATCTGGGCAACATCTACTTCCACCGCGCCCAGCTGAAGCACGGTCAGGAGGGCGTGGAGATCGGCTCAGACGCCGAGGTGCGCTGGCTCGGACACCTGCTGGGAATCGAGACCGACTGGGTGCGGCGAGCGCTCATGACCAAAACCACGGTAAGAAAGGACGCTGATTCGAAAAGAGAGCTGATTTATGTCACTTCATTATGAACCGTTACAAATCCGGAAAGAGACTTTGGACTGCTCTGGAAGTAAGCGCCGAGCCTTTTTATGTCTATCGATCGTTTGAACAATGCTGATTTGGTAGCGTATTGCACGACACGCTTTTTATCAATAAATTTCCGAATCGAAATATACAAGCACCTTTCATTGATTCCCGTTTTGTTGTTATATGTCATTTTTCAATCATTTTATCATGTGCCGGTTATGTCTGTATGTATATCAGGTTGTATGAGCACCGCTTATATGTGTTTGTTATGCCTATATGATTTCCAGGAGGCTCGCAACGAGCGAGTCGTCACCCCTCTGAACATCGACCAAGCGCTGGACGCGCGGGACGCCATCTCCAAGGTTCTCTACAGCAGTCTCTTCAGCTGGCTGGTGCGCAGGATCAACCAGATCGTCTTCAAGGGCGCCAGGAAGATGAGCATCAGCATCCTGGACATCTTCGGCTTTGAGGACTTCAAGGTGAGCATGGTGATGGTGGGATTTTATGGGATAATGTTGGAAACAAACGTATTCTGTGAGAGCTGGCTGATTTTCTTAGTTCTGGAAGTGTAGGCAGGCCACATGATTATTTCTTTTTTGTAAATTTTATTTGGGTACAAAAGCCCTGTGTAGTTATGTCAGTTTTTATGGCAATCAGATTGTATGCATGCATAGACTTCTGTATACCTCGGTATATCGAGGCTTATGACAAATGAAATTTTTAAGAACTTACGATGATGCTCTTTAGTCTACGATGGTACACTGAAGTCTTCTTTAGTTTACGATGGTCCCTATAGGGAACACTGATTCTATTTTCTTGTTTCTCCGTTTCGGTTATCCAGGAGAACAGTCTGGAGCAGCTGTGCATCAACTACGCCAATGAGACGCTGCAGTTCCACTTCAGCAAGCACGTCTTCAAGCTGGAGCAGCAGGAGTACCTCAAGGAGAAAATCGAATGGCAGAGCATAGCATTCCAGGTCCGTGTCGACAAGCACCGTCTTGTTTTTCGTCTTCTGCTATCCAAATGTTTCTTTTGTTGTGGGTAATTGATTATCGCCGCCTTTTTTTTTTTAGTAACACATGAACTTGGGTGCACCAGGCTTAGACTTAGTCAAAGGCTTTCCTCTTTATATGTGGCATGTATTTTCCAGTGGAATAACTGTTGTGCGTTTTCTGATGAAATGTTTAAAACGTTGTAAACTACTAGCTTGATAAACTAGCTAGCCTGGTACGCGTTGTAAGTGCTGCTCCCAATATACGCCATAGACCCATAACCCATCATGCAAACGTTCAACATTCGTCTTAGCCTCTCCTAGCCGGCTCTCAACACCAGAGTTATTTTCCCTTGTTCCAGGACAACTGGCCGGTGCTTCACCTCATCAGCAAGAAGCCGGTGGGGATCTTTCACTTGCTCGACGATGAGAGCAACTTCCCCAAGGCGACCGACGCCTCGCTGCTGGAGAAACTGCACTACAACCACGCGCTGGACGAGCTCTACAGCAGGTGCGTGTGCGTGTGTGTTGGGTATGTTTGTGGGTTGGAATAAATCATGTTGTGACATTTTATATTCTGCGTCATTCACACTGTTTTATTGGCGACTTTTATATCGTCTTTGGTTTTCCCTTGAAACCACAGTTTTGTCTTTTACGTTCCATCTCAATCAATCCGATATTTCACTACTCATGTATTCAATGTGTGCCTCACTCAATGACGAATCTAAAACATTTTATGCTCAGCGTCCTAAAACTGCTTATTCACCTACACATAGTAAAGGTCGGTAAGCGTGTGTGTCAATATGGTAATATCTGGTAACGGGAATACTGTCTGTACAGAACTATCACAGCAATAACCTTTCCTCCACAGGCCTCGCATGTCGTCGATGGAGTTCGGCATCCACCACTATGCCGGCCAGGTGTGGTACAACGTGGACGGCTTCCTCGACAAGAATCGCGACATCCTGAGGAACGACGTACTCGAGCTGCTCATCAGCAGCGATGTGCCGGTCAGTGGATGTGCTGGATGAAATGCTGAATGGAATGTCGGCTATTTCTGCTAAAATAACGGCGGGGCGTTTAGTTGGACTGTTGGTTGGCTTGTTAACTTGATTGTTGGATTGGCTGATGGCTCTTGACTGGACATGACTTGACCGTTGACTGGGCCGTTAGCCTTAATTTGACTTGACTTGACTGTTGACTGAGCTGTTAGGTTTAACTATAAGGTTCTACATTTCTGGAAAGAGATGCTGTTCACAATTTTCTTTTGATCTATATGTAAGAAGTTACGACCGACTTTACCTGCTTTTTCTGCATAAGGTTGGAGTGTTGGCTGGACTAATAACTCGCACTGGCGGATCCAGGCTTGCGTTTTGGGGGGGGGGGGGGCAACTCATGCAGGAGCCAAACCTAGGGTACCCCCAAATCCTGTTTTCTCATCGGATTTAGGCCACTTATTTTTCGTCACAGCCCTGACACTATGAATATTTTATTTTAACTAAAAATAAAAAATATATATAAATGGTAGCCCACCCGACCCATGCCTTTACATTACTTTGTAAACACTTACCATTGCTTTTGTCGACCAGTTAACCCGCTTCGAGTCAGTGCTTGGGTCCCTTTGCGGGCCGGGAGGTGGTAAAACACCCCCTGTCTAACTCGGCTCCTGGGCCACGCACTGATTGAACTATGTTTCATTATCGTTTGGGGGAGGGGGCAAACGGGCCACGTTAGGCCTCTGGGAAGGGGGCATGACCCTCAATGCCCCCTCCCTGGATCCGCCAGTGTAAGAGACCATTGGAGCTGCAGTTGGGTACCTCAGACGTCAGGGTACGCCCTCAGATGTATAGGACTCGCGTGGAGACCTCTCATGCTATAGTGGACTGAAAGGACCCAAAGGAGCCCGTCTAGGGCTCCCGGAGATAGACGTGGGCCCTCAGGAGCCCGCCAGAGCCCCCAATGAGGGATAAGTGAGGGATACCAAGTGCCTGCAATTGCATATTGCACAAGCCATAACGTATCAGTGGCAGATCCAAGGGGGGCCACATGGGTCATGATCCCCCTTGGTGCCCGGGGGCACCACAGGCCTGTCAGGGGCACCACCGACCTAGCAGGGGCACCGGGCACCACCAGCCCGCCAGGGGCACCACAGGCCTAGCAAGGGCACCACGGGCCTGTGAGGGGCCCCACAGGCTTGTCAGGGACACCCCAGGTCTGTCAGGGACACCAGAGACCTGCCAGGGGCACCGCCGGCCTCGCAGGGGCACCATGGGTCTGTCAGGGGCACCAGAGGCCTAGCAGGGGTACCATAGGCCTTACAGGGGCACCACCGGCCTTGCAGGGGCACTTTGGGCCTGTCAGGGGCACCATAGTCCTGTCAGGGCCCAGGGGCACCAGCGGCCTAGCAGGGGCATCACAGGCCTGCCAGGGGCACCACCGGTCTAGCAGGGGCACCATGGGCCTGTCAGGGGCCCCACCGGCCTCGCAGGGGCACCACCGGCCTCGCAGGCATCACGGCATCACGCAGGGGCACCTTGGGCCTGTCGGGGACATCACGGGTCTGTTGGGGGCACTTTAGGCTTGTCAGGGGCACCACAGTCCTGTCAGGTCCCAGGGGCATCAGCAGCCTAGCAGGGGCACCCTAGGCCCGCCAGAGGCACCACAGGCCTGCCAGGGTCCAGGGGCACCACGGGCCTGCTGTCAGGGGCACCTCAGGCTCCCGTGCCCCCCCCCCCCTGGATCCGCCAGTGATGCCACACCACGCGAAACACCGCCAACTACCAGCTGCCGCGCCATAAACACGTGCCAACCACAGTCTTTTTTTTGAAGGTGGCGACTCCGCTCGCGCAACTTTTGACTGACCCTCACTGCTACCATATTGCCTCCATATTATGCTGTGGAAAGCTTTACTTCACCAAGTGGCTAAAAACCTCCATCAAGGTATATTTTCTTAGCAATTTTTATGACGTTTTGGGGGGGGGGGCAAACAGGCCACTTTAGGCCTTTGGGGGGGGGCATGGCCCTAAATGCCCCCCCTGGATCCGCCAGTGATAACTCGACTTATCGACAGTTTTCACTTGTCCGTGTCTAGCCTGTCTTCTACTGAACTATTAGCTCGACGGTCCGAGTGGTTTTTCTGCTAGTTGCACGGCTGCAGTGAACAAAACAAACTGCTATAATCAATTAAGTATTCCTTCCACTCTTCTTTTCTTCTGTTCAGATGATCTCTGAGATGTTCATCGAGCACCGCGCCCAGAGCGAGGCGGTGAAGAGCGGCAGCAAGTCCAACGGCAGGTTCGTCACCATGAAGCCCAGGACGCCGACCGTGGCGGCCAGGTTCCACGAGAGCCTCCAGCAGCTCCTAGACTCGATGAGCAAGTGAGTTGCTTACTGTTTATTCCCGTGTGTGTGTGTGTGTGTGTGTGTGTTTTTTTTGTTAACTGAACGTTGCTAGTCTTAGATCAATGTCCTAACGTTTAACGTGCCCCTCGACGTGTCCAGTCGTGAGGGCACGTTAAACGTTCGGACAAAATTCTGCCATACAACTGGAATTGCGCGATCGGGTGGTGGGGTCAGGGTCAGCACAACAAGTTATGCTTACTGCGGGCTCTGATTCCTCAAATCCGCCCATTCAGCCACTCGGACTAAATTTATAAAAGAAAATGTCCCCAGTACTGTTGTTGTTTGGTACATCTGTCTTCAATTTAGTCAATGCTTATTTGAATATTGCTGCCGCTTTTTTCCATATATTCACTGCCTCACTGGTATTTGTCTTTGATTACCAATTGAACAATGAGCTTGTCAGTTCAATATTCATAACGATAGTGTGCTTTGTAAGGTGTTTAAGATGCTGCATTATGTAGCGTTTCGATGAGGGCGTTACGTTTGCTGTTCTTGGAGAACAACATCATTAATGCCTTAGAGGCTCACGGTAGAACACGGTAAAAATGGAACCAATCGCCTGCTCACTAACTCAAACTCAAACTCTTACGTTCCAGGTGTAACCCGTGGTTCATCCGCTGCATCAAGCCCAACTGTGAGAAGGCCCCGATGAAGTTCGACATGCCCGTGGTCCTGGAGCAACTCCGCTACACGGGAATGTTGGATACAATCCGGATCAGGAAGATGGGGTATCCGGTGCGGATGAGGTTCGCGCAGTTCGTGGAGAGATATCGCTCTCTCCTGCCAGAGAGAGTGGCGAGAGGAGCACCGGCGAGAGACCTGGCCAGGGTAAGAGAGAGAGAGAGAGAGAGAGAGAGAGAGAGAGAGAGAGAGAGAGAGAGAGAGAGAGAGAGAGGGAGAGGGAGAGGGAGAGGGAGAGGGAGAGGGAGAGGGAGAGGGAGAGGGAGAGGGAGGGAGAGAGAGAGAGAGAGAGAGAGAGAGAGAGAGAGAGAGAGAGAGAGAGAGAGAGAGAGAGAGAGAGAGAGAGAGAGAGAGAGGCGAGGGGCTGATGTTGAGGGGTAGAAAGGGGGGTTGGAAGAAAATTGATAAAGGGTGTGGCTTAGGCCATGCGAAAAGAAAAGTCGATTGGGATGGGGGTAGGGGAGTGGAAAGGAGGAAGAAAAAGAAGAAGCCCGTAATAGGGAAAAGAAATGATGTAGCTCGTTATGCAACTTTTCTGACATGGCTTTGCTATCGCTTTCTATCACTTCTTCATAGTGTCTTTCTTCTGATATTATAGGTTTCTAGTTAAGGTTTCCAAGTGTTTCCAAGTTTTTGACTTCATGCTTGCGATGTGATTATGTCTGCCAAATGATCCTGTCATATGTCTTTGTGTCTGCCAGATGATTCTCGAGGGCAGTCCCGAGTGGCAGTCAGAGTACCAGTTGGGTACCTCCAAGGTCTTCCTGCGGGAGAGCTTCGAACAGCAGCTCGAGAGGCGCAGACTGCGGGTCGAGGCCGAGGCAGCCATCAAAATCCAGAGAAACGTGAGTGTGATTTGTTGAACTTAGTTATTACGCAGGGATGCGGAGCCGGAGCCGGAGTCGGAGCCGGAGCCGCCGGAGCCGGCATATTTTGCCCGGAGTCGGAGCCGGAGCCGGAGCCGTGAAACAATATAGCCCGGAGCCGGAGCCGGAGCCGGAGCCGCCAAAAAACGGGGCGACTCCGGCTCCTTTTTATTTTTTGAAGAGGAAAAAATAATTGACCTAGTTCGGTTTGACAGTACAAGGCAGTAAAACATATCGTACTATTGGTCTCAATATAAGTGCCCAGGTGACCCGTAGTTTTGATGCGGTGAATACCCTCACCCTCGCCACAATGCGAGTGGGGGTGGCGCTGGCTGGGAGGAGGGGTGCACTCGGCCCGAGTTGTGGCGAGGGTAAGGGTATTCACCGCATCAAAACTACAGGTCGCCTGGGCCCTTATCTTGAGACCAATAGTACGTCATGGGCCATCAAGTGAATGAAAAAGCCGAATATCCCCAGTATCCCACAGTACGCAATCAACTTCCTGTCTGCTCCTCCCCCCCCCCCCACACGTCTACTGCATCCCCAGAACATGAGGACCGGTCATCAGGTGACGGCCATTGTTTTGAAGCCAGTGCAGTGGACTGCGACTCCCAGCACCGTCTCCCCCCCCCCCCACCCCCACCCCCACCCCCACCCCCCAATGCAGCCGAGATGGGTGTCAGCCTACGATGGTTCAGTGAACTCCGATTCGCGGCGACTGCGTTTCCAATGCCATCGCTTCCTAGTCCTTTGTTCTGCCAGTTCTCTCCGAGGTGCGTTTGCGCGGGGACGCGGTGAGCCGGTCATGGCAAGAGTAGGTAACGCGTATAACCAATCAAATTTTTCTTCCACCCGTATTTAATTGATTGCATAGGGGATGTACTGAGTCGGAGCCGGAGCCGCCGGAGCCGGACCATTTTACTCGGAGCCGGAGCCGGAGCCGGAGCCGCCATAACATTTCACCCGGAGCCGGAGCCGGAGCCGATTTTTTTCTCCGGAGCCGGAGCCGGAGCCGGAGCCGTTTGAAATTTCCACGGGTCCGCATCCCTGGTTATTAGATATAGTATCAAAGGACATATACCAACTGCTCACATATTGAAAAACATTCAAACGAAGGAATATCATGGAGAGAAAGTAAAAGTGAAAGCGAGGAAGTCGCAGGCCCTTTGCAAGGGGCCTCTTTCCATGGACAGCTTCAACTTCAACTTCAACTATATTGCCGGATCATGGAATTAAACCGTTTATGTCTTGTAGGAACGCAGAAACAGAATGTATGGTTTTTTTATTGAATGCTTCGGAGCATACCTTTAATTTTGTAATATATTATATTTTATCAACAATTTGTGTGTTTTTTGGAGGGGGGAGGAGAGGATACGAGTACTAATGTGAATTTTGTGCGGGAGCATTTGTGGTTTTATGAAACCTCAGTGTAGAGTGTATTCATTTTACACTCGTTTGTACCCCACAGGTACGCCGGTACCAGGCCGAGAAGCGGTACCTGCGGACCCAGCAGGCTGCGGTCAAAGTACAGAGCTACTACCGCATGTACCGGGACAGGAAGAGGTACCGTACCGTCCGCAACGGCATGGTCAAGGCCCAGGCCAACTTCCGAATGAAGCGGCAGCAGAAACGATTCAGCGAGATGAAGGTATGTGATGAAATTACATAGTTCTGAAGACAAATAAGCGTTCATATTCACATGCTTACGGACAAAACTTTGTATGTTTCGCTCAGTTGACTTTGTTCATATCATATAAGGTACGAGTATAATATGCGTACACGATCATACGTTATACACGTAATCGCACAATTACAAGCACAATTGAAATACAGACACAGGAATAAACGAAAAATACAAACTTGAAATAAACCCAAACGGAAGCGCAAAATAACTATAGGGAACATACCAGCATCGCTACAAAAAACATTTTTGTCACGTATGCCCCCCAAACAAAATCCGTACCCACTAAGACGACCAAACAATCACATGTCCGCGACTCGTTTCTCGCAACCTTCGGTATGCCGACCAAAGTTATGACCTGTTGACCTTTTCCACCCCTAGGGTGAGATGAAGCGTCGCATGCTAGCCGAACGGGCTGCCAGGGCCCGGGCCAAGACCTCGGGTGAGCGACGGGACAACGAGAGAGGTGTCTCGAGAGCGGTGGCCGGTGTCAACCACCTGGAGATTCCTGCGGATCTGGCGTTCATCTTCAGTCGGCTGGATGGTAAGTGGGATGGATAAAATGGATGGGTGGTTGTGGGCCAAAAGGTGTGTCAGTGGGTATAGTAGTGTCTCGGAGTGTCAGTGTGTCAGTCGGCTTTAAGCTGTCGAAGTGTCAGTGACTATTCGGTAGACTGTCGGTGTATCATTGGTTAAATTCAGCGTCAGCGTCATTGTCAGAATAAGCTGTTTCTAACAGTTGCTGGAAAGTGGAACATGACCCTATCCCACCCCAAAGAGCTCCGAAACCTTTTGAATAATGCCCTCCTCCTCCAC